GTGAGAGAGAATAAATAAGACAGCCCAATATTTAAAAAAAAATCTATTCCTTTTCGCAACTTTCCGCATATTTCTTAACTTCCCACAATTTCACCACATAAAATCACATAAAACCCCCGCATGTTTAATCGCATAATCAAGGATTTTAGCCCGCGTTTTTCTGGAGGGTCTATTCAGAGAGGGTCTTCAGTACAGGTGGCAATATTGTCACCTGCCTGCGCTCATCTCTGAAACCATACAATGTAAACAGGCTGGTGTTTCTTGCAAAAAATCTTTAAGAGATGACATGAGCAGCCCTACCAGCATTTTCCATAGTGGCCAACATTTTTTTATTTGGTCTTAAATTGTAGTTCAACATTTATTTCCTGTTACTTATGGACCATGACGGTTGGCCAGCCTTCAACGTTTAACTGAGTGGAATATGTTGAATATGTTTTACCAAAATGTTGGCTATGTTAAGGAGTTTTCAGTAGGTTGTGACAGTGCACTGCAACATATTTGATTTAATTTATTTTGGTCTAATTTATTTTTATTTATCATATTAATATATGTTTAGTATGGTTTTGTTATACTTTCTAATAGGTGGTCAACCGCAGTTGTCATAATGTCCACCACGCTAAAGTGCAGAGTTGTATCCACATAGATGGCAACTCCTCCTCCTCCCTTATTTGGTCTATTTTTGTATCTGAGCTCATATCCATCCAGTCCTTTTCGTTGTCGATCCATGTTTCAGAAATAGCAATGATGTTGAATGGATTAGTAAATGTATGTAAATATTCTCTGACGTTGTTAAAGTTTGCATACAGGCTTCTGCTATTAAAATGGATGATTGATCTTTTCTCATTTGATTCGATGTTCTGGTTGTATTGTTCATCAGTGTAGTTATGCTTTTTCTTGGCACACTAAAACACAAGTCATTCTCAAGAGATGCCTGCTGGTGTGGGCTTTGAGATTTATCTGAAATCCTAAAAACTAGCACTTGGATTCAGTGATACAAGGGTGTTTGGGCGACTGATTAATGATCAAACAAGGCTCTGCGTGGGAGTCCCTCTGATCAAAAGAAGCTGCAGTGGGATTTCAGTTGCAGAATGATCTGCGCCTCTGCACCAGAAACATAAAAAACCCACTCAGCTTGCGTTTCGAATAACTACTCATTATTCAATGCATTGTTTTTTCACATTAGGAGTTGTAGCTTTAAGGGATTTGAAAGGCAGTTGCTTGAATTAAAAGTATATTTCAAGCATCAATACAGCAAACTCACCCCTCATTGCATGTTACTCACTATGTGATCCTTCCTTCAATGTTAAGTGTCAACCATTAAGATGGTCAAATGTATGTTGCACTGTCTGACATTCAGCATAACCGTGACCAGTCAAATTAAAACTAATTAATTGTAAACTATTTTGGGTGGAAAGCCTTAACACTTTCCCATTTTTTCCTCTAAAATTGTTGCATTATTTATCAGTTTATGAGCAATTGTGTGTTGAGTCTGTAGTCTGAAATGAATCCACCATTCATTCATACTTCATGTGTATTGATTGAAGTTGAAGAGCCATTCCCCATGCCCCACTTGAGACAACAATGAATAGGAGTGTTATAGAAAGTAATTTATTACACAAACCAAAGTTAGTTTACAAATAGTTTCCAGTCATGTGTGTGTGTATAGTCTAGTATGAACAAACCCACATTTCATATTTACAGACTTTGCATACAGCTTGGTTTTCCTGTTCCTTTGTTTACGTCACTGCTTCAGCACCCACAAATCAGGATTTAAAAAAATACAATAAAAGTAGAAATAAAAATGATTTGTACATAATAAGGAGACTTGCATTGTTTTTCCTTTTTGTCTTCTCAGCCGTGTTCAAAAACAAAGAACAGAAAAAGAGCCGGCGATGCTCTAGACAGGCAGCCGAGAGGCCAGCCTTTCTCCTGACTGCCTAACAACAGCATTTGGCAGGGATGATTGACGGGTTCTTACAACCAATTGTAAATCATCAGAAAGAAAACAAATCAGGTAAAGCGCAAAAAGTAGAATAAACTAAAGCTACGACACAGAAGCAGTCCCATAGTCTTACACCTCCGATTTTAAATACTGATAAAATAAAATGAGTTTTTCTCTTCTTTTTTTTTTAAAAGCAGGAAATAAAGTATAAAAACACGAGACCAAGTTTCTGGAACAGCCTGTAGGCCAGGAAGAAGAACAGGAGGGTCTGAATCTGTCAGCTAAACACGCAGACAAGTCAAGGAAGGCTGGTAGCTGATGAATCCCAAATATATCTGCACACCCTTTCAATTCTTAGAATGGAAAGACCTTAAGAAATACCCCAAATAAAAAATATCCAACATACAGCAGGTGATAAATGCTCACTGTGCTAGTTAGTGATACTGATTTTCAGCAAGTTTAACCCAAACATCTATCTGGCTGTCTAACTTGACAATTCTGGCATTACCATGCACAGGATCATAGTATCATATATATTAATATATATCATACATCATACTAGTATTATTTATTATATTATATATTTTTTTTTTAAAAAGGTGTCACACATGTCATGTTAAAGCAGATGGCTGCTGCCTACAGCTGACCAGTATAAATGTATATTGTAGATAACCTTTATTTCCCCTCCAAGAGTTCTAGGTTGTTTTACATTTGACCTACAAACATGCGCACACAAAGAAATATAATCAATAGTCGTTCATCCCAGATAAGGAGATCAGTGGTGTGCGTGTAAACACGGTCCTCTCCTCTCCTTGTTCTTTGTCCCGGTCTATGACCAGAGGAAGATGAGCACCAGCAGTCTGTGGAACAGGAAGGGGCGGGAGCTGAGATGCAGCAGAGTGGTCAGCTTATGAAGATCATCATCCAATGGGAACACAGATCACCTTCCTCCTTCAATTTGATATTTAAGAAGACAATCCTGAAGTAGACAAACCAACCCCAGTAGATTCACCAGCGTGTGGGTACTTTAATGCCTATCACATGGAGTAAACGTTTCCTCTGAAACACTGCACTGTGAAGATAGAATACAGGTGGCAATGAAAGCCAATTTGATTTACAGATCAAGTGATGATGCACAGGAAGTAGTTTTACATTAAGGCCAGCGCTAAGGACACATTTCTCTCAATTCAAACTGTTCATTAATGTGTGAAATATAGAGCATTCACTATGAGGAGGCTCTGTGACAGGTCACCTCAGTAAGAGCACGGCTCGATGGGTTTGTCACTGCGAGCACAGGATTAGCGACCGCCGTGACTAAATGGCACCGAGCTGGACATGTGAGCATGTAGCTCCACGACAAATGAGACTGACTGGCCCATAATAACCCAATCAATTCAATTAAACTGCAAGCTTATAGAAGATCCCTGTTTACTGGTGATTTGTCTACTTTTGGGGCTGTTCAAATATCCTCCCCAGGAAACTAAAGCACCTGTCGAACTTCAGACTGCCCGTCCCCTTCTCCCAGGTAGAAACCCCTGATGAAGAGTCCACTGGTGGCTGTTTACAGTGGAACTCATTTACTGTGCCGTTTGCCCCTATCCATATGTCAAGTCATCCAGGCAGAAACTAGACCTTTTTAGTTTTTGCCGTCTCCTTATTGTGTTTATCAGTGTAAGTGGCTTGTTGAAAAGACAAACAGATGAAGAGCCCAATGGTTTACAGCGGTAGTCAGCCCCCCACCCCCAATCTTTCCCCCCTGTCCATTTCCATCGAAGCTTCCCAAACCCAAGTCCCAGGGCAAATTCAGTCCAACAAACAGCCGTTTTACAGCGGTAGTCATTTACTGCACTCTTTTCTCCCCGTCTCTCCCTCCCTCTCCCGTCTAGTAATCCCCCCTCCGCCCCTCTCGAGCCCTAGCCCCCTGGGAACAGTTGCCCCGGGGGTTGAAAACAGTCCAAATGTGTCGGCTATTTTACAGCACTACACATTTATTGTTCTTCTTCCCGCGGCGGGCCTGCAGGGCCGCCCTGGTGGCCATCTCGAACACCTCCCGCACGCCGTCCTTGGTCTTGGCGGAGCACTCCATGTAGCCGAAAGCTGCGATGCGGCCGGCCATGTCCCGCCCCTCCTCCGACTTCACTGGCTCCTATTGGATGAAGACAAAACCAAGAATATGGTTCAGGGACACACTCGAGACATTTCCAAGTCTGGAAAATGTTAGCTAATAAAGCCAACTGCTACTAAATACTGGTGAAATCTGTGGTATTTAATCATTTGAATTTTTTACATTGTTTATTTTATTTGTCTGGTGTCACACATATTAGAAACAGGAGACAGGTATTCTCGTACCTGTTTCATCTTGGCCAGCTCCCGGCGTGTGTGGTCGTCGTTGCGCAGGTCTTTCTTGTTTCCTACCAGGATGATGGGAACGTTGGGACAGAAGTGTTTGACCTCTGGGGTCCACTTCTCTGGAATGTTTTCTGTGAAGGAAAAACGATAGATCGATATTTTATTGGCCGTTTCATGTTATGTGTTAATGTATAAAGGGTCATTTAGTTGTCACATTGAAATGTATTTCCCAGCCCATTTGTATTTACATTCCTTCACTACAAAATCTACAACTTGTATAGCGTGCGCCACCTTTGAGTCCATTATCGAGCATTTTCACAGAAACTATGACAGATTATCTAACTGACATCCAAAATACTCTTAGTGACCCTGACAGCCATTTGACAGAGTTTCTGGGTGGCGTCTAGGGGTGCAACAACTAATCGACTTAATCGATTACCAAATTAGTTGGCAACTAATTCAGTCGTCGATTCGTTGGTGACGTCATCACATGTGTTCTACACCCCGTTAAGCTTCAACGTTATCGCTCTTTTGTATCGGTACAGGAGACATTTAAAAACATATGTTATGTATTATTGCAACATAAACATTATATCGCAGTCTTAGTGTCGCCAACTCAGTTTCTAATATGCAATATGACTACAAAATGCGTCTATAATGTATTTTCGATCTTCCGAATTCAGACGAGCGATCTCTCCCCCGCCTGCTTGCGAGGGGGCGGGGCAGTTTACACACACACGCAGGAGATGGCGGAGAGAACGCGCTCCGAGGTGTGGTTAAACTTTAGCCGTCTCGATGTGGACAATGCTCGTTACCAAAAGTGCAATAACAGTTTATCATATAAAGGCGGTAAAACGAGCAATTTGTCCCTACATTTAGCAAAAGTGCACCACATTCAGACGGAGAAATGCACCGGGTTCGACTGTCTTTCTAGTAGCTCTGTAGCCCCGTCCAAGAGTAACCTTTCCACGTCAGGTGTTATGTATGCTAACAGCAACACACAGAGTTAACTCAGTTATAAAAACATAGGTTAATGATTAGAGGTAACTGAATTAGTTATTTTGTTAAAGTTTCAGCTATTCTGTTTACAGTTCTGTCATCACATTATTTAATATGATTTGTTAAAACATTGTTGTTTCTTTTGATGTGAAATATTAATTTGTTATTATTATATAATTAAAATAAAAAGCAATGTTAGTTTTGTTCACAATTTGTTGAGTTAGTTTACCTTATTTCTTGTCAAAAGAACCGTTAATACTATCGTTAAAAGGACCGGATCGATAAGCAGTATTGATATAAGAAGTAGTACAGTTAAAACCTTAACGTTCCGAATAATCGATTAATCGTTTCATTAATCGATAGATTAATCGATTATCAAATTAGTCGTTTGTTGCAGCCCTAGTGGCGTCAGTCAAATGGTTGACGTCAATTTGTTGATTTTTTTTGGGTTGCAAAATATGGCATGTTTTCTTTAAAAGGGCAATCATTTGCTGGCAATAATAACAAAATAAAATACAAAGCATATCACCAAACATAATTTATTCATTATATATTTTAATACAGGAACATATCTCTTTGAAGTCTTGCCATCTTTAGTGCAGAGTAAAATAGCCCCCCCCAACTAAGAATATGAACTGCCTCTTAATTCCACTGTTTATACAGCTCACTTTGATGCATTGGAATCAACATTGCCTTTATTAAAGAAAACCGTTTTGTTGTGTGATGTTCAAAATGCTTTGAAACAAATCATGGATGATTTTGATATCTATGTTAAATAGTTTTTTGGCGGTCATTATGGTGAAAAGAAGATTAGCGAAGTATTAGGTCTGTATTAACAACGTGTCACATGCAAAGGTAATTGTGTGACTGAAGACAGGGGAAAAAATCTAATCTAGCATGGTCAGCAAAAGCACAGCTTTAAAAAGGGGAGCTGTATGTCTGACATATGGTCATGTACAACGATTTGATTACAAGCTTTAGTACAATAGGCCTGTCATTTGTTAAAATAGCAACTTCCTCTCATTTGATCCCGTTTGATTTATGTCTGGACCTATAATAATGTTCAGCTTATATCACCTTATTTTGATGTGATCACAGAAGTACTGTTCATAATCATTAGGACAGGAACTGGATGACTTTTTTACGTTTCCAGCATTGCTGCAAGCCCCTGAATGACACACGATTTGTCTAGACTCTAGGGTATGTGTGTATGCGCAAACGTAAGCAGTTCCTCTGCAATGTGGTTTTATGTCATGTATGAATGTGTGTGTGTGTGTGTGGGTGTGGTTTGTACTCACCCAAGCTGTCGGGGCTGTCTATGGAGAAGCACATGAGGATGACGTCAGTGTCTGGATAGGAGAGAGGTCTCAGCCTATCATAGTCCTCCTGACCCGCAGTATCCCACAGAGCCAGCTCCACCTGACAGACACACACACATCAAGAGGAGACGGACAAAGAGAAGGGGAAGAACTGAAGTTAATACACCACGTCCAATATGATCAGCACAACTTTCACATTGAAGCCCGAAAGTAAATGAGATAATAAACAAGGTCCACAACGGACAAGAAGAACTGATTGCGCCATGATCACAAGATTCCTGCTGCAGAGCTCAAGCCTCGGGGGCTTTCCCCCCATTTCCATGAGGACGATATTCTATGATAGGAACAAGAGTTACAAGTCTAAACAAAAGAGATTCAATCAGAAACTCATGCATTTCTATTGGTGGAGCATCTCTGTAATGCTGGTAAAATGTTCATTAAAAAGGGAATTATTTTTGGGAAATAAAAACCGAGCAGACTGCAAAGCTAAATCGGGTAAAAGGAACCAGATTTGGAGAGTTTGACACTTGACAAGAAGTAGTCAGAGTCCACCCCAGCAGCGAAAAGGGTTAGAGCCAAAAGCCAATAAAGATTCAAAATCCCAGCATCCCATTGCCCAACAATGAGGTCAGGCCTTGGAGCTGTGTGCTTTAAAAAATAGGAGTACATCCCGAAGCTGGAAGCCACAATGAGTCTTACTCCAGAGAGCAAATGCCTCTTCATTTGAGCTACACATGTTTTAAACATTCATATTCTTACAATGTGCTGGTTCTGGGGGTATAAAGGATTCATTTAGATTTGGCATATAATCTTTCATCAATGTGTATCCACATAGGACGTCTTTGACGTCTTTTTTATACAATCTAATACATAACAATTCAAGAGCCCTGGTTAGTGTGAGCAAGCATAGCAATTGACTGCATTTCTGATGGAACACAGAAACGTAAAAGACGACCCAGAATCCAGACAAACATTTTGCCAATCAATCTGAGAGCCAGTGACTCAGCCCAAAGGAAGCAGTCTCTTTAAACAGGCCCGACTTGGCAACAGCTGCAATGTGAGGGAAGATGTGAAAAATGGAACAGTGGCGTTTTATCCACACGTTGCCCTCAAGGTAGAATTAAAGCTGGAGCATCATTAAGCACCAAGGAGAAAATTAGCCCTTGATTCAAACACAAAACATTGGAAAGATTGAAAGAGAGATGTGTTGCGGCAGTGGCCGGTGACGTTGCCTCACCTGTTTGCCGTCCACCTCGATGTCAGCGACGTAGTTCTCGAACACGGTGGGCACGTAGACCTCAGGGAACTGATCCTTGCTGAAGACAATCAGAAGGCAGGTCTTTCCACAAGCTCCATCCCCCACTATCACCAGCTTCTTGCGGATGGCTGCCATCCCTGGAGGAAAACACGGAGGAGGAGGTTAGGATCAAGGAGCCACTGGAAAAACACAACATTAAGCACAATCAGAACTGTTGTTACTGACTATCTAAAACTGTTAGAAGTGTGGTTGTCGAGGGGAATACACAACAAATGATCCGATATGATGCATACACATCAAATAAAACATACAATTGTGTGCAACATGTGTGGCCTGTAAGCGAGACTATGTGTTGGGTAGTGTTGCACAGAGCAGGTTCCCAATGCAACACTTCACTTAACACATTTAACCACAGCGCTGAGAGAAAAAAAAAGCAGTTCTCAACCTGAAGTTCAGATTCTCTCAGGGGGGTTAGATTTGAAAAAATGGAATCTGAAAAAGTGCCAAGACAGAAATGTAATGTCATATTTGGGATTATGGTTTTTCCCCTGAGGTAAGGAAGACTTGCAAACGGCGAGGCTTAATAAATGCACATGTGGCCCCACGAGAGCAGGAATCACTTTATATTAGGGATGGGAATTTGAAAGCAAATGTATATTCGAACATTCGACCCCCCAAAAAACGGTTAACCGAAATGTACATATCCTATAAAAAAAAGAAATTGGGTAACATTTTTTTCCCCACAAGAATATTCGCTTTTTTTCACCCAATTTTTTTAAAAATAATTTTTGGAAATAAATAAATACATGTTCAAAAAGGGGAAGAAACCAAGACGAATTTGTCAAATGTATTGAACTGGTGATCACAGTTTGACAGCTATAGGCCTACAGCTTTCATGTGCGATTCACAATCAGCCCAGCTGTAGAGAAGACCCTCTCAGCTGGAACGGAGGTTGTGGGTATAGCAAGGTAT